CGGCGGCGGCGGCGTCCGGGTGGCGAGCGGAGCCCGCGGCGGCGGCTGAGGCGGCGGCTCCCCCGCGGCCGGCCGCCCGCGCGCTGAGGCGATGCCGGACCAGATCTCCGTGTCGGAATTCGTGGCCGAGACCCATGAGGACTACAAGGCGCCCACGGCCTCCAGCTTCACCACCCGCACGGCCCAGTGCCGGAACACGGTGGCGGCCATCGAGGAGGTGAGCGGCGGCGGCGGCGGCGGGCGGCTGCAGCCGCAGGTATTGCGGCGCCGCGCCCCCGGACCGGCTCCCAGCCCGCGGCGGCCCGCGCCCCCTGCCCGCGCTCCCGCATCCGCATCCCGGGAAAAGTTTCTTTTCCTCCAAAGCCGGACGCGGCCGGGCCAGCCCTGCCCGAAACAGAAGCCCTTTGTTCCCGTGTAGGTGGCTCCGAGGAGATGGTTGATGGCCACCTTGGGCCTTTTTAAGACCCTCCCTCTCGCCCTCATTTCCCTCGCGGGCTTCCCCGGCCGGGTCCTTCCCCCCGCCAGCTGGACCAACTTTGGCTGGAGAGTCGTCGGGGTCGTTGGCGAGCGGGGTTCCCCTGCGCCCGCCGCGGCCGGGGATCTTTGCTCCCCGGCGCCCACCTCCCCAACTTGTTCTAGAAGTGGCTCGGCGGGGGAGCTGTGTGCTCTGAGACCCCGCTGCAGCCCCGGAGCCCCCGCACTGCGCGACCCTCTTGTCCGTCCAGGGGATCCCGCGCTGCCTGGGAAGGTGTGCCCACCTTAGTCAGGGAGGCCTGGCCGCATTCCCCACAGTCACCGGAGAGAGGAGTGCAGGCAAGGTGTGTGGAGAATCGGCGCTTTTAGGTCCAAAGGGCCTTGAATAGCCGCTCCCCAGTTACCTGTGCCTTACCTGCTTGAACCCTGAATCCCTCCCTTCCCCCTCAACCTGGAAAAGGCCTAATTTTAGTAAAGTGCTTTCAAGGTGCAAAGTCATCATGCCTAGCTGCTAACCAGTAAGCTCTCCAGATCCTGGGGAGAGGGAACACTTAGGAATGAAGAAAGAAGCTTAGGATGAAAATTAAAGCACCTTGCAGCGCCAGGAGGGACAGGGGCCCCCGTTGGCTGTGGTTTGGGGCAGATCCTCACCTCGGTCCTCATTTCCCTTGTCTACTAAACGGGATTAGTAATGCATCCTTTTCAGGATCAGCGACTTTGTGAGTCAAGGGTTTAGCACTCTGCTTGGCTCATAATAGGTAACCGGTTTACAAGCCACACGTGTGGCAATTGTGAATCGGTGATTAAAATGCCTCTTGGCCAGAATGTCAAGTTACAATTTTAAAATTGGGTATTGTAGGTATTTTATTAATAGAAAGAAATGCCTGGGCTAGAGTGAGTGAGGGGAAGCCACCAAAGAGCTTTAAATTAAGCAGTGTCCTTAATTTTGTTTTTTTTTTTTTTGGTCCGTTGGAACAAAGCTTCTGCTGTTAGGAATTGCTTGGGGGAAAAAGTCTAGAGTGTTTTTCCTTAATGGAAAAATTTTTTTCTTTGTAGACATAAACAGTCAATAATAGACTAAATCAAAAGTAACAGATTCAGAATTCTGAATGGTAAGTGCAGCCAGGTATCCTTCCTGTCTCCTTCCTTCTCTCTCTTTTTTGCAGAAAAGGGCTGCATGTGAATCTTTTGTAGTGAGCTGAGTGAACCCCAGATCACTTAATTCTACTTTTAACAGCAAGGCTTAAAAATGAAACCTTCAAATGAGGCAGATCCGGGTATGAAGTTTTTTCCAAAGTGCCAATTTAAAAGCAGGAGGGAAATATTCACAATGTTTTGAAACTACACCCTTAATAATGTTTGTAGAATGGTTGTAACCAAAAAGGTAGCTGAATATTTCTTAAGGGAAGGGAGCTTTGTACACGATGTCTTAAAAAAAAAAAAAAAGCTTGATTGTGTTTAAAGTTCTGTTGCTTTTCCCCACTGCAGTCTGTCAGTTAAATATTACTAACACTGGCAGATGTTGGAAAGCCAGGCAAATAGAAATTGCTATTAAAATTGGCATAGCCTTTCTCTGATTAATTTTAGTTTACAGTGTATAGTTCCAAAGCTCTTTTTGTGTGCTATGCAAGAGATTACCCAAGAGCTCAGTTACTGAGCAGATTAAAAAGAGACTGGATTTGGTCATTTTATTAAATTGCAAGCTTGCTTCATGTTGCTATCTAAGAACAAGAACTGGTTCACGTCTCAAAAATGGGAAAATTAAAATCATTTCAGGTTTATCTTATTATAAGAAAATTCAGTATATATGCTATGATGATGGTATGTATGAACTTGGATTTATAAATTTGAAAGTTGTTTACTTTCTGAATCCGTGTGGATTCCTTTAAATAATGCTGTTTTGTGTGGTGTTTAATGTTCAGTTTCATTACCACAGCTTGTTCTATGTACAATTTAATAATATACCCACAATATTATGATTTTGAACAAACATCTACTTTTCATACTGAGAGGAAATATGAAGTGGGTATCATCCCATAAGGATACTCACTGAACAGAAATAAAATTTGCAAGCCCTTGGTCCTATGTTCATACAGCTGAGTCATGGAATTAGTAAACAAATAAGTTTAAATTCACTAACCTTTGGGAACCTATTATTTCCAATGTAGATTATGTCTGAGAAAAATCATTTTACAACTGAAATGTACTGTTTTGATTTGCACACCCGTAGCCGGAATATTAGTAACTATCAGGTCCCTACGCTATAGTATGAACCTCGTATCTGTTGTATTTAGTCCTCATCCCTGCTTTATAGGTGAAGAAATGGAGGCTCAGAGAGGTTAAGCAGTGTGCTCAAGGTTACAGAGCTAGTAAGTGGAATATTTGAACTTGGCTCCATTCTGTTTTCAGAAACTGTGCTGCTTCCTGATACTTTTAATAATGCTAAATTCTCTAAATTACGTCATCAGATTGACTAGGGTTCAAGTTCAGACTCCACCACTTGCCAGTGGTGTGAACTTGAGTGAGAACTTGAGTGAGATGCCTAACGTTTCCTCGTTTTTCTCAGCTTTAAAGTCTGGGTAACAATGCCTGTCTACTTCAGAGGATTGTGGTTAGGGTTTAATGAGATAATGCAGAGCGCAGTTCCTAACAGACAGTTGGTCACCAGAGTATGTAGTTAATCCACGACCCTGCTGAGGGCCTATCGAGTGAGGATGAGATTTACCTGGGGAGAGGGGGGAGTAGGGGAAATGGCTGAATGGTTGAATGAGTAAGCCAGTGAAGAACTACTACACACCTATTAACCTGTGCTTATTTTTTAACCAGTTTGTTGTCCCAGCAGCAGGTGAGAGCATAGCTGTGTTTAAAATTTTTTACTTGGTGACCACTTTCTCTGGGTGAAGTAATTTATTTTGCACAATTTTAGCAAAGTTAGCAAAGTGTGCTGCAACTGGAGTCTGCCCTGTGCTTTTGGAGATAATGGAAAAAATAAGTAATTGTGGCATAAATCTGAAAAGCGAGGGTTTTTTTCCTTTTTTTTTTTTTTTGGTTTCTTTGAGTCTCCGGGCACTTTGAAATATTCTCAAAATAAGGACAAATTGTATACATACTTGGAATATTCATGTTTCTAGTTAGACCCTCCTTTATAACACTATCCATTCTGTCTTGCTTATTTGGCATTGATGTAGTTTTAAAAATAAATTTGATGTTGACTCGTAAGTATTAAAATTTAATCTACTTCCTTCCGGGGCCGTAATTCTCTGCTCTGTTGTCCTTGGTTACCTTGGAAATCTCATTGCTGTCACAAGCACAGGGTTCGGACTGGAGGGTGGAGTGAGCATCTGGGCCTGCAGGCTCCCAGGGGTCCTGCTGTCCATGGGGCCAGACCCCTCCCAGCAGCTATAGTGGGAACCAGGCCTATGTGCTTTTTAGGCAAGAATGTGATTCTGAATGTTAGCCCTTTGTGACTTGTTTGAAAAAACAGCCCCTCCTACCAGATTAACAAACTTTGGATCCGTTGTCAGAAGGACACCACCTTCTTGCTCAGTTCCTTTGGAAGTGAGCCTTTATGGGTCAAATGGGGTACCCTTTTATGCTGGGTTCTGAAATCTGAATTTATATATTTGAAAAATTTTGAATCAGTTAAGGAGGGGAACAATCTACTACTCTTATGTGTATCCCCCACCCTCACTGAATTCAATTTCTCTCTTATGATTAACAGTAAAAGTACTAATACTATCCTTGTGGCTACCAGACCCTGCCGTTCATTTAGGATTTATTGAGTCTTTCAGTGTGCTAAGCTGTGTGTTCGGTGGTGGGAATAGAATACCAAGAGGAATATCGTTTTGTTTTTTTGTTTTAAAAAACAACCTACAGTCTAATGGGAGAAGCAGACCTCTTGTAAATAAATAAGTACAATACAGTGTTGTGAGGATCTGTCTTAAGGTCATCTAGCGTGGTGTGGCTGTGCGAGGATGGGGGCCGTGGTTAGGGAGGGCCGTGTGTGATGTTGTGCGATTGAGTCTTGAAGTCAAGGTAGTCATCTGTGGGTTACCACATGCTGTAGTCACTAAGGGGGTTCATTATGGTCTTCTGTACCGGCCTCCCTGCCTTAGGTAAATATTTATCCACTCCTGAGGTGGTGCCAACTAGGCCTCTGTAGTAGGATTTTCACAGTCACCAATCCACGGAGGGCTGCTCAGACCCAGACTTTGGAGACATCTTGATTCTTGTACACCCCACATTTCTAGACACAGGTGCCTTCCTTTGTGGACCACATACATTCCAGACCTGTGCTGTCCAACACAGTAGCCTAAGATGAAAATTCAGCTCCCTCAGCCACACTAGCTGCATCTCAAGTGCACGTGGCTGCTGCGTTGGATCTCTCACAAGCAGTATAGGCATCACCGGGGAGCTTGCTAGAAATGCAGAGGCTCAGATCCCCACCCTAGACGTGCGAGTCAGAATCTTCATTTTAATAGCACGTGCAGGTACGTTATCTGCAGTTAGAGTTGAGAAGCACTGTTCTAGACCTGGAACGTGGCTGCACGTTGGAGTCGCTGAGGGCGTTTGTGGAATAGAGATGCCTGGCCCCACTTCCTGAAATTCTAGTTTAATTGCTTTGGGTGGGGCCTGGAGCCTTGGCATTTTTTAAAGGCTCCTCCCAATAGGGTTGATAATCACTGATAAACAGATGATTGTGCAATGTAAATGTCAAGTAGTGACAAGTGCTGTAAAGAAAAT